AAGACACGTTGCTACAGCCGAGGGATAGTAGCTTGGCGACTCATCTTGTGCACTACAACCGAACTACTACTTCCCATAGGGGCACTTCTCCCGCTACCTATAGTATTTGCATGGTCAGCAATATATTGGCAAAATAACTTAGTAAACAGTTAGCAACATACGTGTTTACTTCTTTCGAGCGTACTTTACTACCTTCCTGGCACTTTGCTATATCCAGCAGCTAATAAAGCTTGAAACTTTTGCCATTACTAACCAGGGATGCTTTCTTTGTCTTTCCTTTGTCTTTACCAACCTCAATTTTGCCGATTACCTTGGAATAAAAATTTTGTGCTAAGTGATGACAAACATATCTTATATGCAAATATGAGGGCAGACAACGATGTGTACAAAGCGTCCATTATTTTTCTGAATTGTGTGGCTGCCAACCAGTACACAATCTGCTATTCCAAAGTAAGTGCATAAATAGCCTTCAAATGGCTGCTACAGTAGATATTGGCTAAGTCTTTACATTCTATGTGTGCACTTGAATGTATATCATCGTGTATAATTCGTTCATTTTTTAATATGTTAGTTGCTGTGATACACACTTGCCATGGTAAGTACTTGAAGTATACAGTGAGCACTAATTATTCTACATGGACAATATCACTTTGCCTATTATCCTATATATACTTCTGTAATAGAACTATCTTGATGTGGCAATGTACATATAGATGCCAGTTAACAAAAAATTCAGTAATGTATCAATTATATGAGTCAGCACTATTCACGAACTATTTAGCAAACTAGCAAGTCTCACTAATAGCCATTTTCCTACTTTTGCTCACTAGGAGGTTAGTGCTTTTTGTGACAAGTAAACGGTTAGTATTTAATGAACATACTACAACCTTTTCTCTAAGAGTGCACGTTTGAATGAATGGCGATGTTTTATATTGATTAGGTTTAAATGTGTTAATGATACCTTAGAAGTAGTTGTTGGGCTAGTTGGTTCGTCATACTGAGGGGTAATTCTAGACGCCTAAAGCACCACAGGAAAAAATAATCACAGAAAAAGAGCGTCAACTCGCAACTGATTCATTTGCAGGAGAAACGCAGGAAATATATAGCCGCACACGCATGTGCAGAGCACACTACTTCACCTAGTCACATGACCACAAACATAAACTGAGGACGTTCAACCGGCATATCTAATCAAGCAACGAAGCGCAAAAATCAAACTCAGACTTGCGCAAGACGACTGACGTGTCACTCACCTTTTTTCTTTATCCAGAACGCTTCCATTATTTCACGGGCCAGAGCATCTGGGCTTTTGGCGAGGACAGAAACACTTGAAAACCTCGCCTCACAAGAACAGGAACGGCAATGCGCAGGCAAATGTGCTCCGGAATCATTTCGAATTGAAAGCTCACGTTCCCTGATTCTCACGTTCAAACACCGTCCAGTTTGGCCGATGTAAACCCGGCCACAACTAAGCGGGGTTAAGTACACCACACCCACTACGCAAACCACATACATCGAAGCGTGTATTTTTCCACAGGTGGAGGCACTCGGTGTTTTAGAAATACCTGGGCATAGGCCAGCCAGCTTTTGTGGCGCAGAAAAAAACAACAGACACATTGTACCTGCTCGCTACGTTCTTAAGGTTGTGTGCTACCTTATGAACATATGGAACATCTATAGGTCGTTTATCCCTCGGCTGCCTGCATTTTTGTTTGCCCTTGAACTTTTGAAGGAGGGTTTCCGAAACGGATACAATGACAGAGTTAGGATAGCCAGCTGAATGCAGCCGCCTAACCTGATTCAAGTAGCTATCCTGCATCCTATGATGGCAAGATTTCACTAGCGCTCCCTCGAGACACATGGTTGCAATGGCTCTTTTTACAAGTTTAGAATGAGCTGCATAAAAACGTAAAAGCTCTTTGCGCGAACGTGGATGATACGCCCAGCACACGTGTCGCTCCAAGAACATGATGCTCAAGTCTAAAAACTGCAATTTATTGTCAATGGGAAGCTCATGCGTAAACAAAAGGCCATTAACATGTTGTCTGAAAAGTGCTAAAATATCATCCACTGAACTAGTGGTGGTCGTCAGAGGGTTAGCATTTAAAATGACTAAAAAGTCGTTCACGTACCGAAAGACTTTCAGCACCTTTGCATCGTCAATTGCTTGAGCTAAAGCAGTGTTTAAGGAGGATAAGAACATGTTACACAGCACTGGAGTGACACAAGAGCCAATGCAGATCCCTTGTTGCTGAACGTCAAGATTGCCATTATGCGATACAGAGGTTGAGGTAAGATAGAATTCCAACAACGTCATAAAGTTATCTAGAGATACGCCTGCAGCCCTCTCGAACGCTAGAACTCCGTTCGTTTCAATACAGGTTCTAACGATCTTAAATAGCTCCGAGTGCGGCACAGAATAGAAAAGGTCTTCAACATAGACTAAAAAGCCATACGCACCACCCTGGAGGCAGTGCAGAGTCTGCGTAACGTCATTCGAGTTCTTCACTGCAAACGGGTCTCTGACTTTAACCGTGCTAAGGTGCTTGAGTAAAAATTTACTGACATGCAACTGCCACGAGTCACATTCACTCACAATGCACCTGAAAGGCATGTCAACCGTGTGTGTTTTTGCATTGAAGAACACTGACAGGGTTGCCTGCCTGGAGGTGCTGATAGCCTTAGAAATTTTTAAAAGTTCAAGATCTTTACATAGCAGAATAGCTTTAGCCTTCACCTTGCTTGCTTGTGACGTCGTTGGTACAAAGTTCTTTTGTAGAGCTTGAATAGCCTTTTCACCAAAAACTTTTGCTGTCAGTACCACGAAACCACCTTCCTTGTCGGCTTGCATGAGCTGTAGATGGTTCCTCCAAAAGTGCGCGACAACAGCCTTAGTAGGGTCCTTAGGGTGAAGATGCGTTCGCTGAACGTTCTTCAAAAGAACGTCCACCCCATCCAATAGGCACCTTTCTCCGTCCTCTCCGGGCGCACACTTGGCTATTCTCCTATTAGTAGCCAGTAGATCGTGAACCCGGAGGTTCGGTGGTACCGAAAACTTCGTTCCTTTCTTCAACAGGCTAGAAATTCGTTCAGATAGCTCCACGTTGTCTGGAAAATGAAGCTCGGCTGGATAAGGTAGCGCATAAGGTAGCGCACAACCTTAACGTGGCGAGCAGGTACAATGTGTCTGTTGTTTTTTCTGCGCCACAAAAGCTGGCTGGCCTATGCCCACGTATTTCTAAAACACAGAGTGCCTCCACCTGTGGAAAAATACACGCTTCGATGTATGTGGTTTGCGTAGTGGGTGTGGTGTACTTAACCCCGCTTAGTTGTGGCCGGGTTTACATCGGCCAAACTGGACTGTGTTTGAACGTGAGAATTAGGGAACATGAGCTTTCAATTCGAAATAATTCCGGAGCACATTTGCCTGCACATTGCCGTTCCTGTTCTTGTGAGGCGAGGTATTCAAGCGTTTCTGTCCTCGCCAAAAGCCCAGATGCTCTGGCCCGCGAAATAATGGAAGCGTTCTGGATAAAGAAAAAAGGTGACTTGTGTATAAGTGACACGTCAGTCGGCTTCGTTGCTTGATTAGATATGCCGGTTGAACATCCTCAGTTTATGTCTGTGGTCACGTGACTAGGTGAAGTAGTGTGCTCTGCACGTGCGTGTGCGGCTATATATTTCCTGCATTTCTCCTGCAAATAAATCAGTTGCGAGTTGACGCTCTTTCTCTGCGATTATTTCTTCCTGTGGTGCTTTAGGCGTCTAGAATTACCCGTCAGTGTTAATGATAAAATGATTACTTAGCAAATCGTCACGTAGGAATTCAGGGAGGCGCTGCCTTGGTTACATGGGATCACCTGCTTTGGCTGGCTACCAGAACCAATGCTTTCAACTTCTACTCTATCTCTCTCTGTTTGGTTTTCTTGTACAACAGTTTATCATATACACAGTTCACACAGCACAGAGTTCATTGAGTACAAATGTGTGCTACGCTGGCCTGTTGTTTCAAACATTTGTTTATTAGCAAAGCCTTTTTGCTTGAAGGCCTGAGGTGCTTAGTTTTCATTTTTAGACTGTTAGGATTATATAAGCATGCAAATTTTTAAACAGTAGTGAGAAAGCAGCAGATATTTTTGGCATGAAAGTGCGAAAAGTATGAATTAACTGAATGATGGAGTTTTAATTAAGAGGTTTTTAAGTACATTGAAAGAATAGAGAGCCAACCAAAAAATTGAGTTTTGTTTGAATTGACCAAAAGTATGAATTATCGAATAATGGTGAGCCTACCGTATGTGGCGAGATGGCGTGCAAGCTGGTATACGAAAGCTTGCAGTAAACACAAGCATCGCACTAGCGTAAATACACATCACAACTTAGAGAAACGCTTTATCAAATATGCCTTCAAGTCACCGACGGTAGCAGAAGCAAAAAAAAAAAAAAGTGAAGGATGGGGAGACAACAGGCAGCTGAGGCACCACCGAGGGGAAAAAAATCACAAGGTGTAAGGTGTCAGATAAAAACTTCAAAGCAACATTCTATATAAGGACAAAATTATAGTAGGTGTGTTGCTTATAAATGTACCATGCTTGTAATTAGCCAAACGTTTTTAAATTACTGCTTTACTGTTAAATTTGAGGTTCTCGCTTACTAATGTTTGAAGTTCGAAAAACAACACATCAACGAAAATGTGTTTATTTTTGGCAAGACATATTTCCATTCCTATTCCATTCCGGGGTCGAAAAAATGTGGAATGAATTCAGAGTCATTCCGATTCCAGAGTGGCATCTCCGCAACACTGCCACAGACCACCAGTTTTGATTTCCGCCATCTCCAGTGGAGAAGCTTTTCAGACACGGAATAGGTCCATTCCACCGCTGCCTTGTAGCTGTAATTCAAAGCCAAGCCACTGTACTCTCCCACGAGTTTTCATTACTGCAGCCTTTTAGCAGTTGTAGCAGTGCTAATTCAAAAAAGCTAGACAAGAAAGGAGGACCAGGTCGCAGCTGCAATCTTTTATTTCATAAATAACGGCTTAATAAAAAACGCTTTTTTTTATTCAATGAAGGGAGAAGAGCGAGAGGAGAGTGAAGGAGAAAGAGAGAGAGCGAAAGAGAAGTTTTGGGGCTTAAAATGATGCCTGTATACGTTGTGCCATGGGTGGTTGTAAATCATAAATGTATATAACATGGGTAGTCCCCTCATGGGGTGGAATGAGTCCCCCTGCAGACTTGCAGGACAATAGTGTAGGAAAGGAAGGCAGAGGGCGCCTTCTATCGGACCAGCCTGAGGCACTTCTTGAGATTGTCGATGGTCACCTGTTGCTGTTGGCGCTCCTCATCCAAACATTTCTTGCTCTGATACAGCTCCTGCAGCACACAACCATTGTCCATGATGTTAGACAGGAAGGGCCCTTGCACCAGGGTGACAAATGACATTTTACAATTTATGAGACTAAAACGTTGCTAAAGAGCGCGGTTGTAGAAGAGATGAAGTGTGCCAGCCATACCAATGTCGAAAACTGTCTATGGGGAGATGACAGAAGGGGAACTGGATGTCCCCAGCAGGAAATGCGTACTTTGACCGACCAGGCATGCACTGTACCTTTGCATGGGGTCAACCAACCATTCATACCTTTCTACGGGTTGTATTGTATTGAAGCCATAGATAGCACGAAGGTCGCTTCGCTAGCTGCAGTGCCTGCATTTCCTTACGGCAACGTTTTGTTCTCGCTACTGTTCTCATATGAAATGAGTGAGCTGCTAGCCTTACTTTGTATAACATTACAATCTGTTGCTATCTCATTCATTGCTTTGCCCTTACAGCCAAGCCGTGACTTTTTATATATTACAACTGCATTGCATTAAAAAATTAATAAACAGGGGTTGTGTCGAGCCGACATTTCGACAAGCAGACTTGTCGAAACGTTGGCTCGACAGAACCCCTGTTTACGGATTCTTCATCACAAGCTTCCATCTTCCCCTTTCTACCATTTTTTAGAACTGCAATGCATGCAAGGTGGCTGGACTGCATTACATACTTTACAGTCCAGATACAGAGAAACTCAGCCTTACTGTTTGTTGGTCTTTTTTGTGAATCAATGCGACGAAGAATGAAGTAGTGTCAAAACGTGGCATGCTGCATTTACTAGTGGCATGCTGCATTTATTATGTTACACTTTGAATTAGTTCATGGCAATAAGCCATTGGTATTTGGAAGCAGTGTGCTACTTGCACTGTCAACCGGAAAACTCTCAACTGGGCACAGCATGAGATGCTGTTGTAGGAGACTGGATGCCACTACGCTCTTTGCACTTTTGCACCTTGAGGAAGTGGCCTAGAAGGGTTCTGTGCTGTGCACTGACTCCTATATATGTCATCGCAGCAATCTGCACAATCTCGGCAAAACAGGCCCAAAGTTTTCACTATTGTAGCCTATTATGGACAGCTCTATTGAAAATCAGACGTGTTCTGCTGAAAGCATAGGCACACAAAACTAAGTGAGAATAATGGCTTGTTAGTGCATGCGCAAAAATGCACTGTGCTCAGATTAGATCTGTTGTAAGCAGGCGCGTAGCCAAAAATTTTATGGGGGGGTGGGTGGGCACCACCATGATTTTAGGGGGGTGCCCCCTTAAAATGGCCATTTTTCGCTCTCTATGCCATAACGAAAAAATGGGGGGGGGGGGGGGGGGGGCACGTGCCAAGTGTGCTGCGCCCAGGCTACACCCCTGGTTGTAAGAAGCATGAAATCTGCAACATTTTATTGTTTCTGGCAGTTGGCAGTAAATAATGTTGCAAAGCTATGCTTTCTAGCAATTTTTTGTTAACAACTTTTTATTGTCTTTTTGCGATGCCTCTGCACTTGTTGTTAAACCTGAAATTGTAACAAACTTCTTATGTAGCATGCTTAGCCACAACAAGCCACACTGAATAGGCAGGTGTGATTAAGACCCTGAAGGAATTTTCTAAAGAGAACAGAAAGAGAAATGGAGCCAGACTTACTGCCATTCGAATGCGCAACCGCTGGGCTTCCTCTTGCAGCTGCTGCTGCTCAGCCCGCAGCTGCCGTTCTCTATCAGTGAGTAGCACACGCTCCATGTGGCGCTCTGCATTAGGAACCACAACAATTATCATTAATCCTTACCATCACTGAATTCACAAAGAAAAATGTAAGAAAAAAAAGAGAGACCATTAAAGGTAAAGAGACACACACCACGGCCACACCCCTACAGAGAAATGTAATTATCGAGCATGATCTGTGCCCCATGCTGAAGCACGTGGTATAAATTTGAAGTTCCAAGCGCAAGCAAATGAATGAAAAAAGAACTGCTTATACTAATATAAAAATCAAACCAAACAAACAATCTGTACTAAAATTCAGTCAAATTTAATAGCAGCAATGCTAGCTTAATGTACAATTACAATCCTGGTAACTTGAGCTGATAAGGTTACAATAATTTCGGATAACAAATAAAATTCTAAGATGCGCAGTGCAGTTAATACATTATAGAAGTGCAAAGACATTGATAATTTTCTCTCGTCTTTTCAAAATGTCACCTAGAAGACAAAATTTAATGCTTGTAGCGACATATAGAATATTTCACACTTCAATTGACATTACTTTTCTTCATTATGTTCTATCAGCAAATTACCTCTAACCTATAGAAATTTCAATAGAAAACATGACAAATGTAATTGAATATCAATTACAGTCCTTTATAAAAAGAGAAAATATTCAATATTTAAACATACTTTAATAAATCTTAGATTGGTACATGCAGTTTCAAATAATGTGCTGCTTTGAAAAATGAGTTGTGAAAAAATGCTGTGCATGAATATTGCATTCATGTGATCCTATAACTTAGCCAAACAAGCTATCGTGTTCACTTCACTGTAAAGCAAACTTCTTTTCAATACAGAATTTTCTATGCTCAGTTAAGTAGTACTAGGGAAAAAAAAAGAAAGAAGAGAGGAAAGACGAAGAGAGAGAGAAGATGAACAAGAAGAAAAAAAATGTTACAATACATCTCATTCGAGTTGACACTTCTACTTACAGCTATTTTATGATTTCTGTGAGCAGCACATGTACATGAGACTGTTATCATATTTTAATGTTCCTCACAAGACAAAAAAATTTGCCTTTGTTTAGCCAATTTCGTAATGTGTATCAGTTAAGCCAGTAACAATTCGTTGGTTCCTTAGGCATGCTAAGGTAATTTTCACTGGAAATTCGGTTCCATTGTTACATCTTCAGCTACGTTTTCTTTCCCCCATTTTGAACTTTTTGCCAACAGCCTGACACAAGGGTTGCGCCTTAATAGGGGCTCTGAGAACATTCCTGTCAAGCAGTTAACAAAAAGTTTAAAATAGGGGAAAAAATGTGGCTGCTCAAAGTTCATGAAATACCGAGAAGGGGTGGTATATCGGATGCCACTAACCTGTGGAAGTATGTACACAGTACAGACTGGCCACTGCATCGATACAAGTCTAAAAGAGCATGCAAACTCACTAGGGAAAGAAATATTTTCACACTTGTCTGATCACTGTAAATATTGTCATTGTGATCCCATGTTTTACAATACAGATATTGTGTTCACACATAAACTAACACGTAAACTTACGGAAGCCTTTCAAATCAATAGGCGTACAAATATAAATGCATGAATCAACCTTCAGTGGCTCTATATTCACTGGAAAGCAATTTTGATGGCAAGTAAGCTTTGCAATTCTAAAGTTACAAAAGCATCTGGGTCCTGGCCAAGTAATAAATTGTGGCTGGCAAAACAGCTGGGCAGTACTAAACATGGGCACATGACCACAAAATTTGTGATGTGGACAAAGCAAACTGCATGGAAGACACAAGATGAACACAATACAGAGCTTGCACTGTGTGTATTAGTCCTCTACATTCAGTCTGGGTCGCGAGGTCTGGCTTACATTTTCCTAAACATGTTAACTTGCTTGCCATTTTAATGATTACAAAGGTTGCCTTGCATATACCTTAGTGCCATACCCGTTTCGTGGACACCTGACACAAAAGAAGAAGCTGATGGAAAATAAAAAAACAAACATGGTACATATTGCCACAAGGCAGTGGCAATATTGTCCGGATCGGGCAATATTGTCCGGATCGCGAATTTTGTCCGGATCGGGCTGTACCCCAGATATGTTCCATATCTGGGGTACAGTCCGATCCGGACTAAATTCGCGCATTGACTCAATTTCCCATGCCCTCTTCTCATAAGGATGTCCGGAGCTTCCTTGGTTTGTGCTCCTATTTTCGCCGCTTCATCCGAAATTTCGCCGATATTGCGCGGCCTCTCACCGAGCTTCTTAAAAAAGACGTCCCATTTACTTGGAATTCGCTTCAGAGTGCTGCGTTTTCGGCGCTCATTGCAGCCCTCACGACTACGCCAATATTAGCCCACTTCGATCAGACTGCCCCGACAGAAGTTCGCGTTATCAACAAAAACAATCAGCTGCGACTAGTGGACGGTAGGAATAGCCTAGAATAAGACATAAGTCACCGCTCCACGATACCACGCCTCCATCTTGGCGTTGTTGGATACCTTTTGATGGTGGACAGTTGCCGATGTTAGCGTGTTAGTGCAACTGTTCGATTCATTCACGAAAGCCATTCTGGCTGCTGTTTCAGCATGCTTTTCAACATGGTATCGCTATGTATTTTTAGCCGACACTTTTTGCATTTTGGGAATGAGGGTTCCTTTATTTTGCTAGCTCAGGTCAGCTATACTTTTTCCAATTTCACTACAACCAAATTTTTTCAACGCCCCGTCAGTTTCGTTGTAGCGAGGCTTGACTGTAACAGAGTTACGGCCATAACTCCTTTAGGAAGAATAAATTTACTGTGTTAGTGCATTGAGGTTGGCCGAGTGGCTATCTAGTGCTTGATAAAGTTCCACATGACACAGTTTATCGCTGATGTATAAGTGTTTCACATCCAATGAGCTTGAATCGACCGAAAATGACATCATCCAGGAAGCTAACAGAAGGCTAATTCTGTTTCTGAAAACACAACCTCCACTGCCGTAGCATGAGCAAAGCGACCTCGCTTTTGAAAACCCCAGTAATAGTATTCTTTAAACAAATACTAAAAGATATGTTGTCTTGGTGTAGGGGCTTGCAGTTCATTGTTTTTCATTTTGTGGACAACTATAAAGTCACCCTTCATGCCAAATTGTGGTTGCATTACGTTAAAGTAAAAACATGGTGCATGTTCTATTTTAGTGCTTGCCACAACCACAGCCACTGGATGAAAAAGCGCACGGCTACGGCCCACTGCGTGTTCCGAAACCGGTGTTGAGTGGGTCACTGTTGTGACAACCACCAGCTAATTTGCTGCGGCTTCTGCCCCGAGGGAGCTGCCGCCACCCGTTTCCCCGTCCCTCCTGTCCCCGCCCTGTCGTGCTGCACCGGCCACAACTGCAACTACTGCTGACACACACTCTCCCATAGAAAGCTGCTCTACGCGGCAGGTCGTACCATGCGCTTTTTCATCCAGCGGCCGTGCCATAATACATGAACATTCATTTCATCCCAAATATTTTTTTATAAAATTTACTATTTTTTTTTCCTGTCGGCTACACAACCTCTTCACATTCTTTTTTGCACACTTAATGATTGGAGCAGCAGGCATATGCTAGAAGAATACTTGTGCCAGAAGTACAAGCAGAAAAGATGCCTTTAAATATTTTGGGGTAATGGGCCCCATTTTACACAATCCAAGCAAGGCCCACATATTTGAGCATTCTAGAATGAGGACATAATTGCAAGCAATCTTACCCTGGCTGTAATGCGAGTAAGACTCCATTATGGCTTCCACACCAGGCCACTGAAAGGGAGCTGGCACAGAACCAGCACGGTCCTCCCTGCCTTCCTCTCCCAGCTCCATCAACACAGGCTCGTCAACTGGGATTGGTGCAGTCACTGAAGGTGCCCTCGTGTGGAATATTGAGTAACTTGGCCGATGACGCCGCTTCTCTATTTCCCCAGTCAAGGACGAACGAATGGTCAAATCGCCATGTATTAATTCGGCCAGAGAGGTAATTCAAGACATTCAAATTAATTCTAATACAGGTAAGTGTCAAAAATGGCTACTTGCAATGGGTGTCCCATGATTTTACGTCTTTAAAGTCTTTATTTTGTTGAACTGATGATCCAACTCAAGCTTTTGTCCTGCCTCACTTTTCTGGCATTTTCCCTCCTAATTTCCCCCATAAGTTTTTGTTTTTGAAGACCAACAAATGAATGAAACACTTAAAAGATATATGTTATAGCGGGCTGCCATGCAACATGACATTATAATAAAATAACATGTAGGTTTGTTTCATGCACATTGTCAGGATTTTGTGGCTAGGGAATTCAGCAGCTGAGGAATCAATGAAATATAAACCTCTCTATTGTGCTCTCTCGTGCCCAGAAAAGCTAGTAACACTTGCAGTACAATAACAGCAACGATGCAACGAGCACATACGTCAGTTGCTGAAAACATCATCTTTATGTTTTACACACTGACCATATGATATGATTACATTCACTGTATATTCCAGCATAAATTCTGCTGCTCGCGTATGTTTGAGATTGTACTCCACCATTTGCATCAGACAAGCAATCTATTTAGAACATTCGGTAACATTTGAGAAGACTTCAACAGTACCGATACAACCAGGCCAGCTGGCATTGAGGGATAGCACATATAACAGTTAGCTGGTGAAACCCAGTCACAGTGAAAAAATTAAACAGGTGCACATGTCAATACACTGTAGAAGCAATTTAAAAGACAAGAATGTGTGTAATACATCAAGAGTTGCCTCACATGAGCGTAAGAGAAAAACACAACATAAGGCAGACAATAATCCATAGAGACCACGAACGCAGCAGTTACATTAAGGCATGCTTTTAATTTACAGCTGATCCCGGGTATACAAAACTCAAAAGAAATCTTGAAATAGTTTTATATACAGAGAAATCAAAATACAAAAAATGCATGTTAAAGGCCTAAATGGAAGCTTTTGAGGCCCCAGAAATCCTTACAAGCACTAACATAATGATTTGCTCACAGTATAATCAAAAACAAGGGGCGAACTGCTAGCTACCGCACTTTATTTCACATGAAAGTAGTCCGTAAACTTGTCTTGCTTCTTGCCCACCATCATGTTCCAGTCACCCTCAATATCTTTTAAGCTTTTCAAATAAGTGAATTCAGCTGCTTTGGCCACAACAACGTTGATTGGTGCTCAAAACTGTTGCGAGCTTTGTAGCGCGGCCAAAGGTTGGTTTGCGGAAGCAGCGAAGGCGTTGACACACTCATAACCGCACGGCTACATTTCCGCAGCACCAGCAACAGCAGCCAAAATCTCAGCATCAACGCATTCAGAAACAGCTACGTCGTCATCTGTACCGATGAAATCGCTCACTGTCCGAGATGGTGCCCGGCAACGCTGATAAGTCACAGAATTCACAGAGGCACCGTACGCCGTTGTCAGTGGTCATAACGCACCCGAAGTCGTCACATGGTCCACAAGAAGACGTTTACGATGGTGTTTTATTTGATGTCGCTCGAAGCGCCAGTCATAACTTTTATCGCTACTTGAGGGTGAACGTTAAATTCACCTCCTGAATGTGGATTCATCAGGAACGAGGCGAGAAGTACACAAGACCACAAGCCGCAAAAGACACACCGAGTTGTTTGCGCAAGTTCCCACCATAGACATGTTGGCGATATCGATGTCACGTGTGTTACTGTAGCTGGCAGCCGCTGCTTTCAGTCTTTGATGCGAAAAGATAAAAAACCTTGGCCTCCGAGACACGCATTTTAAAACCGAAAACATTAAAGATGCGTTGCAAGGTTGCACATTTTGCACAAGAAATTCAAGGAGACTTCTCAACTGTTTAATATAGCCAATAATTCGATATATCCGAGTTTGATATATCCGGGATAGACTATTTAATATAAACATCCAATATATGCTATATTGTTCGGGATGTTTTCATGATAAATAAATTAGCCCAAACCTGCTGGGTCCGCTTGTTGCACATTTTAAGACAACATTTAAGAAGAGAGAGTAAGCGTTTCCATAATATTCTCTATGTTTATCTAAAAATGTCTTTTTGTGCTCTTAACTTACCAGAATGAATTACCAACCAGACCCACTACAAGTTCCTAGTTTTTATTTATTTTATTTTATTTATTTGATACTGTCAACCCTGTGCTTGGGGTCATTACAGGGAGGGTGTCACAAAGTACATAATGTTCGCACAAAAAAGAAAAATTCAAACACACATATAAATACGAGATGAATAACCAACAACAGAAAAATAAGAAACAAACAACAGCGACTGTACACATAAAAATCAATGAATAAATGCTCAGAACAAAATTTAGCAAGCATCACTATGAAGAAAACTGTCTAATGCATTTTAAAAATTCACCGATGTTGTTTGTGGCACAACCGCATTGGGTAAACACTATTCCACACATCTATTGTGTCTGGGAAAAAGGAGTGGCGGAAAGCATTCGAGCGTGTGAAATAAGGTTGAATTGCTCAACTATTATTAAGACGATCACATCGCCTTCCAGGGGGCTCAAGATATAAATCCTTATTTATTTTTGTTTGCCCGCTTATAACCTTAAAAAGAAATTTAAGGCGATGTTTGCACCTTTCAGCAACCATAAAAAAACCATGGCTATTACATCGATAAAAATAACCGTTGCCTTTTTCCATTCTTATTTCATTTTAACATTGCACATTTATAGAGTACTTTCTCACATGCTGTCATTATCCTTTATAAAGTGACCAACTTCTCCCTGCTTATCATTGTTATAAAATGAGGACTGAGCCATGTCACACAAAGAATATTTTCATCAGTTTTCATTGTTGCATACACACAGATGGAACCACCAACTGGCTATGTAGCAGCGACTAACAATTACAGCCTTTCACACAGTCCCTGTACTTTAGTAACATTATACATAACCTGAAAATTTTGTTTTTGTTCTTCTGTCTCATCAACAGACAGGTTGCTACCGTAGCATATGTTTGCATAATATATTGTTTTCGCCTCACTGCATTGTTTATGATGTAGTAACTGTTGTAACCACATTATTCACATTGCTATGGCTGTGTCAGTTGAGAAATAAGGAAAATAAATTTATTTTATTAACACTGGTGGCTTACCTACCATTCTGGAGCAGCGAGGAGGGACAGCATGCCAAAAAGAATGCTAAGAACCACACTGCTTTCATAAGTTTCTCAGCAGACTTCTTTATTTAGATTAAAAAAAAAACATCCACTTACTGAGCTGGTGCAGCTGTTCCTGTTCTTGCTGTTGCTGGCTGTGCTGCAGCACTGATTCATGAAACTCATGGGCAAAGTCCCGACTATATGGCTTGCCCTGGGCAGCTATGGGGCAGTGGAGACGAACAGAAATGAGCTTCCTCTTGGCAACTACTTCAAAACCCAAGCAAATGTTTCTCGTAAAAGTTAATGCTTTAAGTATACAAGCCATGTGTCAAATTATCGGAAGTTTTCTGCATAGAAACAACACACAGGGTGGGGCCGGGAGCAGGAAGTCAGTCCGAATAACCCGCATTTGAATCAACGAGTTTTTACTGTATAATGCTTTTTCAGTACACTAATTTTCACACAAAAATAGATTTCAGTACTGAGGCAGTAAAGAGTGAGATGCATTCTAGTCATTTGTCATTTCGTGTGAAGTGCAGAAGCAGCCAGGCATAAGCTTGGGGTTTAACATGTTTTTTTTATGTGCTAGATGTTTGACAGTCATCCCTGATTGTCATAAACTAGTACTTAAGGCATGAGTTTTTTTTATGAAGTGCTGCTTTGTGTGAAAACGGACTGCTGTTTGTCCAACTGGCAGTGGCGATGCACTTGTGCTGAGCCGTCATCATGATGAGGAGCTGGCCAACTAGCTGCCGTCGCTGCCATTTTCTATATAAAATCCAAATTGATAACATCATCCTGTGCATCGTATGTTGTACACACGAGTAAAAGCATACATGCACTGGAGTGTCTTTTGTTGAAAGAAGGAACATGAGCGAAACCTGGGGGAAGGGTGGGGGCTTCGTCGCTTGAGCAGCAACTGTGAACTTTGATCATAACGGCGCTGATGTGCACACTATCTCAGCAGACATCAGCTGACAGGCCGCTTACTTTGCATTGAAATGACAGGCAGCACGCAAACGGCTTTGCTCCCTGCGGTGGCTGTACTCCCTTAGACCAGCTTTTTTCAGAGTTAGGTGAGATCGCATCCAAAAGAGCTCACTTCATCCAAAAGAGCCCTACTTCATATAACATTACATTTTCATGCTATCACATTCATTGCTTTTCACCCTAGTGGCGAAACTGACTTTTTTTTGCGCCATCATTGTTACAAGGAGCGTGCCAGGTGATGATGACGATAGGAGCTCACATGGGTGCGCCACGTCGCAGATGACAGCAGCAAATTAAGGCATTGAAGACTGCTTGAGAGTAATTACAGTGCAATAATCCGTTCTGGATGGCACAGCGGTTTCCCCTCTGTATAGTTTGCACTAACTAGGATAAATAGTGGTGCACAAACAGGAGGAGGGTGAGGTCATAACCCTCCCACTTGTCCCTGCCCCACTGTCCTTATGAGAGATTCTAATACATACCTCCAAAGATTGTGTCGATGCCATTGTAGTTCAAGAGTTCAGGTTGAATTTTGCTGACTAATTCTAGAAACTGTCATCATTTTATTTGCTGCAAGGTATCTTTAGATAAAGTAGGGAAATAGCATAATATGCAAGACGTTTATTTCTCCACACTTTCCCCCGCAGCCAACAAAATTAGGATTAGGTCCGAATTTCAACCCACCTCCCCCGAAAAAATCTTGGGTGAACTACTGGGCTAGACATAGCACTAGGCATCTACTGGGTAGACACAGCATAGGCTGAACCACTATTAGCTTAAACAGTCAGCAAATGCACACAAGACACATTATGGGGACTACGTAATAATTCGTTGCAACTACATCTTGACCATTACTGAAGCGAAGCTAACATGTACTTGAAAAAGTTTTACTGAAAGCAGATGGCAGGTTAGCAGACACTACGTCTTGTGACAGCGGCCTCTTCCGATTGATTGATGGTATGTGCCATATCTCTTCATTAGAGCGAAAATCGATTTTGGAACCTGTGACAGCTCCAGACTTGCACACAAGAGCGCTGGTTAGAGGCTGCAACATAATTAACGAGGCAGTGGTGGTTGTTTTAAGTAGTGCTTTTTAGGACTTTTAAATCACAGGTGAAAATCCGAAAAAATGAATGCTAATGTGTTTCAGCCCCGACTTCAGACATTCTGAAACATTGCGTCTATGGGGCATGTGGCAGTGCTGCAAAGCCATATGAATTAACAATCACATCTGAGAAATCAGTAGTTGACTGTATGCACAAACGCAGAATGGATTTGGATTGCACACAAGAGCGCTGGTTAGAGGCTGCAACATAATTAACGAGGCAGTGGTGGTTGTTTTAACTAGTGCTATTTAGGACTTTTAAATCACAGGTGAAAATCCGAAAAATTGAATGCTAATGTGTTTCAGCCCCGACTTCAGACATTCTGAAACATTGCGTCTATGGGGCATGTGGCAGTGCTGCAAAGCCATATGAATTAACAATCACATCTGAGAAATCAGTAGTTGACTGTATGCACAAACGCAGAATGGATTTGGATTGCACACAAGAGCGCTGGTTAGAGGCTGCAACATAATTAACGAGGCAGTGGTGGTTGTTTTAACTAGTGCTATTTAGGACTTTTAAATCACAGGTGAAAATCCGAAAAATTGAATGCTAATGTGTTTCAGCCCCGACTTCAGACATTCTGAAACATTGCGTCTATGGGGCATGTGGCAGTGCTGCAAAGCCATATGAATTAACAATCACATCTGAAAAATCAGTAGTTGACTGTATGCACAAACGCAGAATGGATTCCAAACTCTGATGACGAATCTGTTACCTTGTATAGAAAGCGGCTTGTGGCCAGGTGAACCTTCAGAAGTTGCACAGACACCATTCTGGTGTGACTCCATGCTAGCAGCCAGCTGTCGCTTCAGTGCACGCCTTTGCAGGTACCCCGCTGATGTGATGGCTGGCAAAAGAGGATCAAAATTAACATCATAAGTCAAAAGCAGACACCTTTGTTGGTAGCAATTTTACATATTAATCAGTAATCTCACTATTTTTACATTCAAACAATCACAAATGTGTGTTGATAACTACACCAGGAATGATTCATATCACATGTGTGAGGTACTTAAGGATATGGCTTGAAATACAGTCAACCACCAATTTTTTCGGACAAGCCCCATAAACGTAGATGTCTAAAAACCTCTGGAATTTCAGACATGAAAACTCTTTGGTGTCTGGTTTTTCGGACTTCTTGCCCGAAATTCCAGTCAGAAAAGGCATTTTTAAAGCCCTAACCTCAGCAGCACCTATCATCTTGTGGGTTTGAACCTGCGCTTTCGCAAGTCGATTTGGATGCATCCATAGCAGTGTTTGATAGTCTGCTTAGCTGCAATCAGGGGTGCAAAAGCCAAAATAGAATTTTGAGTCATTTGTGAAGCACTAAAATCCTAATTTGGAGCATGTTAGATGGGGGACAAAATTAATTTAATCACAAAAGACAAAAGAGCTGTATAAAAAAGCTTACATTTTTAAACAATGGTGCAAAAATGTACAAACCGTTCAATATCACCTAAATCATGCAGTGTGAACATGAACACTTCTATTTAAATACAAGTAGTAGTTTGAATCACCTTGCCGAGCAAACAATGATCAAGTATTTACTAGCAGTTTCCTTGCCTGTCAAATCCTTTGACAGACTCTGTGAACTGAAATGTGGATCTGCCAAGGTGGCGACTTTGAAATTCGGGGAATTTGTAAAATTGAGGAGTAGGCGTGGCGAACACAAAAAATAAAAGCTGGTGCACAGTTTTGATGTTTTTTAGGGCTGCCAAAATGCCATACCTTGCTCCAAATGATTGCCAGTAACTTTTCTGAGTGTCAGCTATCACACTAGTACCCACAATTATGCGGCGTATACACGCACGAGTAAGTGAACAAAATGTGCCGTGTCCCGTGACTAGTGCTAACAGCCCCTTCCAAATCTCAATACGCTTTTCCACAGGGCACCAGTGTACTGCCGCGAAGGTAGCTTACAGGGGCCCTGCAACACTTTTTGAGCATGGTGAGAAAACGCTGCCGATCGGTTGTAGCAGCTCCTGAGAACACGCGAGTCAAATAATATAGCGCAGCATGTGGCCTGGAATTCCCAATAAAGTATCAAAGTCAGCTAAATATTGCTTCCTTTTTTCTCAACAAATGACGAAGGAAGCTCAAAAATCACTTATAGAAGGCCACCTATCAGCCATTGGCTGATTTGAACATGGCGCGCTCAGTCATTACAGGGATCGGCGCAAGAGGGCGAGACTTGTCCACGCGTGCGTGCGGAATCACTTTGAAAAAGCAGGGTATTGGAGGAAAAAGAAAGAAAAAAGTGCTCAAGGTTACGAGGCCCGCGTGACGTATTTTCTTTGCCTATGCCATCCGTCCCTGCTTAGATTCCAGCGCTTTCGCCGGGACGAGACAATGGGGAATGCGATTGCAGCGTGCGACAAATCTTTGTAACTCCACTCATACTGGACGAATACCTAAAATTTTTCCGGTGCTGAAATCGTGAGGCAATAAACTCTTTGACTGAGTCTATTCTATGGTTACCTCAAAAAGTTTTTCAAGGCCCCTTTGAGCAGCATTCTGCACGGGTCTGAACGTGGCCTAGAAATTTTTGAACACTGCTACCCCCCACCCCTTTTTTTCTACTTTCACGATGAAGTGAAGTTATTTAGGGCAAAAGTTGGCAGCTCGCTTGAAGAGCCCCAGATAAAGTAACAACGGCATGTGCCCGCTGGCCCGGTGACCTGCTACAACCGGGACCTGCCAGGACCACTCAAGAACACTAAAATGTTTTATGTGTCGTTCCCAACCAACGTAGAGGGCGGCAACGCCAGCGTTCGTCGTACGTCGAGTTTGTTTCGAAGCGGAAAACGCGGCATATGGTTGCTGTTTTAGTTGCCAACATACCATACCTGCGTTTGCTGAATAGAGAGTTCATATTTCCCGCAAAGCGTTGGTGGCTACGGCAACGCTTTTTGTCATAAAGGGGTACTGACACAAAAAATTTGTGCTCCCATTTTTCTGCTACAATGCGTTGCTGTAAGGCTGTTTGTCATGACATGACACATTGTTTGCTGCAGCACGTGACAAATAGTTAATTGCAGGCCCCTCATTATTGATCAGTTTCGGTTTAAGAAAGTTCCAAAAACTGGGTGCAACTGTTGCCACCTAGCGTGTGCAGCTCTTAACTACGTCAGCACACAGAACTGTGACTCACTTCCTCACAATCCACAACAAGAATTACTTCTGAATAGGAAACAGCACTGGAATGTCACCAAACACAAAACTTTCTTAGCGTGCACCACGGCCATGCACTCGCAATCAGCCACCGAGAAATATAGACTTCGGAAACTAACATGGCAAAAGAAAAAAAAATGGCGGCTATGACGTCATCATAACTTGTTTTGTTGACCGCAGCGTGGTGACGTGAGGGAAGTAGGGGGTCACCTCCGAGGGCGTCTATAGTGCTATGGAGTCGGTTGCTCACGCAAACTTCAAAATTAATTTAAAATACATTCCAAGCTATATTAACTGTTGATATCTTGCAAATGATAAACGGATGTTCACAAGAATCGACCCCGCAGGCTATCTCGGCCCTGAAATTTTGTGTTAGTACCCCTTTAAAGTCGCATCCTCCCGCCGGTAGGTATCCGCTGAGGTTAGCGGACCGATGGGAGAGTGGTTGTTATATGGAGTGCAGTGCACTGTACATGGAGGAAGGAAAAAGAAAGGAGGGAGCATCACTACCGTGTCGGTCCAACATGTGATCAAAACGTCGAAGCGTTTTGGTACTACCTATGGGGTTCCAATGAAGAAGAGGAAATGGATTTGATTGATATGTGGGGTTTAACGTCCCAAAAGAGGAGGAAATGGATATGGGCCGGGCATGTAGCGCGTAGACAGGATAACCACTGGTCGTTAGGGGTAACTAACTAGATTCCCAGAGAAGGGAAGCGGGTTAGGGGGAGACAGAAGGTTAGGTGGGCAGATGAGATTAAGAAGTTTGCGGGTATAAATTGGCAGCAGCAAGCACAGGACCGGGTTAACTGGCGGAACATGGGAGAGGCGTTTGTCCTGCAGTGGACGTAGTCAGGCTGATGATGATGATGATGGGGTTCCGTTTTTGAACCGCCTGCGTGAGCCGGCCGGTCTGTGCCAAAAGCGGCGAAGAAGCACGTTTCGATTAAAAGCTACAGGGCACCATACCCCAAAGTCTTGTTGCTTGCGTGATCTTGACGTGTTGGGCCAGAGAGTTAATATACAGACTCTAGAGGCTGCCCATAGGGCCCATGCATTCAAACCTATGACCGATCGTGCGCAGCCATAATGGAACGATACCAGCTTTTGAGTGACATCCACTCATGTTTTCTGTTTCATGCACTCAAACCTCATTACAACGAAGTTCAGGGGGAGCCACAATTATTTTGTTATATCAATTAATTTGTTATAGTGATTATAACAGTTTGTGGCAATGTATGCTCAGATGGGCGCACACCTATAAGCATGCAAGGAAGGAAACCGCCTCGCGGCCTGATCTACCGCTGTGCAAACCCGCGTGCGGCGGAAAATAAACACAGTCGAATCTCCTTAATTTGAACTTCCGGTTAATTTAAACTCACGCTGAGGTCCCGTCAAAGCTATGTGTATATCAATGAGTAAAAACGCCCTGTAATTCAAATGCGCAAGCACTTGCGATGGCGATGGTTAATTCGAACATACCGCACTCCAAAAATGCTCTCAGCGCCATACCAAATCCCATGGTGGCACATCTCAATGCTGCGCGCGAAGAGTGAGGAAAAAAAAGAAAGAAAGCTGTCGCGGGGAGTCCTCCTTTCTCGGTGCAGAGGGCAGCAGCAGAGACACAGTCGTCTTTAAGGCGCATAAGTGAGAGAGAAATCACTTTGCACAGCGGCGCCGCTTCTCAGTCATGCGACCCGTTGAACGCTTCCTCAATCCTCTCCGCTGGCTGTGTGAGGAAGACGGCTCTCTCGACGTCGCGTGAGGTGGCTGCAAGGCTGGCACGGTAGTTTTGAAAGAGCTGCGCCGTACGAGCATCAAAGTCCGCAGAAAAGGATCTACTTAACACACTACGGTCGACGCTTTTTTTTTAAAGACTATTTGACTTAATGATTTAGTTCGTTATATTTATTTACTGGTCAATTTTAATTCGTTACAATGAGGTTTAAAATGCATGGTTCTCAATGAAGCTTTCAGGAAAATTTCATTTACTTCACTATATCTATCATTTCGTTATATCCCATTACGTCATTATGAGATTGGGGTGTATCTCTGTTGCATCTCGAGCCCAGTCGGCTGCAAATCGAGCCCAGTCGCTCGATTTGCAGCCGACACTGGGTAAACAGTAAACAACCAGGCATCGCAGCAAGCAGAAATGCATTGCAACTGATCGAGTTCGCCGATGACGTCAATCACCGACGTCTTGTCACATTGTCTAAGTGGGCGGAGTCATGATGACAGGCCATGCATTGCTCTCCCTCTGAAGGAGAAGGGTGGCAAAACCACGCGAAAAGTTGAAATGATCTGAACGCGAAGTTCCTATAACTTCCTTAATATAGCACATATTCGCGAAATTCTTGCGTTAACATGTTTAAGAAAGAAAAGTGCGCATATTTCTCTTTACAACAATTTTTGTACCTTGGAGTTGGCCCATTAAACGTGTACGCGGCGCCTGCTGCCTTGTCAGCCGTCTCATTCGTCGCAGGTCTCTCAAGATGACTGCAAGCTGTGTGTCACACAGTGCACGAACCATTCTAGAAGTGGATGGAAGGTGTTTCTTTCCCAACCAATCCTAAAAGAATACTTTTATTGAAAGTGAGACTAAAGAGTGACAAGTGGGAGCCAACAAATGCCTCTCGTGTATGCAGCGTGATTATTGCAAGCTTAGTTGCCATTTCTTATCACCTCACCCTTGCAACGTTGGGTACTTGGGGGATGATTTTCGAAACGGCGTGTATATTACTAGTAACACAGTCACAGATCGGACTATTACAAGTCATGTGCGTGGTTTTGACTGTGTTCGTGCATGCACTTGTAGCACCTTAAGCGAACTGATAAGCCCAAATAGTTTCATGGCATTTGAACCGTTCTCATAAATTTGGCGTTCTTCTCAGGGTGTGCTTGAAGATAGTACTTTCACTGTCGCAGACATCTCCTTTTGTTTTGTTTTATGCAAGATGTGACTGTGAAATTGTTGCGTCTATAATTAACTGCAACAGTTAACTCCGAGTTGTGTTTTTTTTGCGGAGCAAAAACTACAAATAAATAAAACATATCAACGAGGTTTTACTAATATATTTGGAGTTTTATGTCCCAAGCCATGGTATGATTATGAGGGACACCACAGTGGAGGGCTTCGAAATTTTGACCAACGTGCATTGACATGACACTACATGAGCCTCTAGCATTTTGCCTCCATCAAGATGCAACCACCGCAGCTGGGGTTAGACTCGCGACTTTTGGGTCAGCAGTCAAGCACTATCACCGTTACACAACACCTCGAACTTGTATTAAGTAGGCTTGTTTAAATGTTCAAATTCTTCAAATATTCAAAATAATATTGCTGTATTTGAATTTGCTTTTATTCAAATTTAAGGTACTGGAATTTTTGAAGTATTCAAAATGAACGAATATATGTATATTAGGCCACATTTCTCTGCCTATAAAAGTGGTTTCATTTCAGCAAAGGAGTGCTGAATCGAGAAAACATTTATACAAGAGAAACCAGCACTGCTGCGAAGCTCTACTTCAAGGCTAACTGAACATATTACCCTCGCATCGATTCATCATTTAAGTTCAAAAGCTTGTTATACTGGCTTGTATGCTCAGAGTATAGAAAATTTTAAAATATAACATATTTCACAGGTTATCACCTACATTCTATTGAAAGTCAAATTCTGCTACTAGTCAAAGTTGTTTCCACTCCCTTGGACGCAAGAAGCATGGAATCTGCACAGATCTTGTTACTTTTTTTTTTAAATATTGTGCTGGTTAGTTGAGTTAAACAAATATGCCCACTTTTCTATGTAATATGTGATATAGGAGGTGTGTTCAAAAAAGAAACTGAACTTTATTAATTGAGCGCCAGCCACCAGACTAAGCGCGCTGCGGCTACTAACCGCACGCAGCAGCAACCTTAAAGAGGTGGTGCCACCAAATTTCGAGGCTAAAACAAGCCTCCTGCGGGTTTCCTTTGTATGCTACGACGCTTGACACGAATAGTCGAATCCAGCGAACGTTTAGAATATATTTAAATTCACGTCCAATGTGTTCTTAAATGGTCATTTTTTCAACTGAAGCCCATTGCAAGTGCGTCCAGAACTGTTGTAGCTCTCTAGGAAGGTCAACGAATGTTGCTGTTATGTCGCACTATATCTGGAGTGAGCGCAGGTGATAGCAGGTTTCCCCTTCATGGGGGACAAAGGATCGGCGCAGCGCACCCCTTCCCTATTATGTCAATGTATGGGGCTGGCTTGCATGCAGCAAAAGTAAAGTGTATATGAACAAAACTGTGTCAGTTGCTCTTGAAAGCATTGCTGGATTCCATAACTCCAAATACAGGCAAATTACACTGTCATATGACTGACAGGCATTAATTTTACTTGATCCGAAACCCCCCCATTACACTCCGTTGGGGATGTTGGTACTGGACACAACAGGGGCCAAAGACATAACAATGTAAAGCTGTGAATTGTTCGTTTTGCAGAAATACGGCGTCGGTGGTTGTGAGCAAAAAGTTAACACTTTAAGCGTGACAGAAAAATCAAGAGCGATGCAAATAAAATAAATAAATGATAAAAAATCCCAGAGCAGAGTGGGGACCGAACCAGGGTTGTTTGGGTCCACACGGGATCGAACCGGGGTTATTGCGTGGCAAGCAGATGTTCTACCACACAGCCACGCCTCTGCTTGTGATAACAGTGAAAAGAACTTCTGCTTGAAAATGCAGTGAAAGTAGCTTTCATGCTTCACAAACCTGTATACATGCTTGACAATGCAACAGAAAATATTGCAGTAATAATGTGTGGTACAAGCGTCCATTGCCAACGGGCGTCAGAATATGTGATTATCATAATGGCTTTGTGGTTGAAAGCCGGTACCCCACAACCAAAGGCATACATGCTACTGAGCCTATTCCCTTGAACCCACGCAGTGGGTGCATAGCAAATTTAGAAAAGGTTTCATGCACTAAGTGTTTGAAGTACGCACTAGGAACAGGATGTCGCTATCACGTTAAACGCCTAGAGACGAAGCTTTAGGGTCCCCTAATTTTCGCAAATAAATGCCATACATACCTGGCCTATGACTAGTGTTGCCGAGGCAGCTCTCCTTGCAGACTGCACCATTGCGCCGGGATCGCTCCATTACTATAGCACGCCATATTGTTTCTCGATCTGGAAAAAACACAAAATTTCTTTTGTACTTTTTAATCACGTTTCACAGCGACATAGCAATATACTATACAATTAAGCAAGCATGATCAGAAACAGCACCTCCGTGCAAACAGTAAGTTAGTATTGAGCATTCTTCTCACCCAAATTTTAACCTTAAGGGGAGATGCGAGTCGAAAAATCACGTTTTTAGCGAAATTTCTCGTATTTCTGATTTTTATTGCATTGTAATCTTCAAACCTTCTTCTTTCATCTGTGAAAATTTCAAAACTAAATTCGAACCGCAAAATGCAAAAAAATGTCTATGAAGGCATCGCGGTGGCTCAAAATTTCGTAAATTTGCGCCGATATTGGCCATCTTTGACTGGGCGCTGCTCCCCGTCGCAGTGCCGCCCACCATCGCGATCGGTTGGGAAAGTTGCGTCCGGCCTTCTTCTTACAGCTCCGACGACCGCCAGTTTCGTACGTGGGCAAAAAAAAAAATAAAAAACGAGGCCTTTTTATCACGTGGTTTGAGCGGCTTTAAACGCGCGGCACCCTAAGCCGCATCGCCATTGGCTACCGAGTCATTGTCAGCTGTGTTGGTGGCGGCCATCGGCATTTGGTCCGTCTACTTTTCTGCGCGTCTACGCATATTTCCACGATGACAAGCCCGAAAAAGTGCAACCTGAGACCGCAGAAGTTTCGAACGAAGCACAAGTTCAAGGGAAGGCGGCGTAAAGCGCCCCGAACGACGGCGACGAACGAGAACGCGCCTACGTGTGCTAGGCCTGACGGCGGCATCGACGAGTGCGCGAGCGACAGTGGCTGCGATGACGCTGCGCTTTCTTTCGTCAGTGCTTCGGAAAAGAAGCTCGGCTTCTTTGAAAAAGACGAAAGACAGCGCGATGAGGTTTGTGCAACGACAGTTTTGTGCGACACCCTCTTGCTGACGGCACTTGTGGCAGGTGCGGCATGCCCTGCTTGCGGTATTCAAAAACTTGCCGCTCGGGAGCCGGCAGAAAAGCGCAAGAGACTTTCGTCGCTCCTCGAACTTCATTGCGAAAACAGCGAATGCTCAGCGACTGTTCTTTCCTGCTCCTATACGTCACTGCATGCTACGGCGGACGGCAGCAGCCGAGTGAGCCAACGGTACGACAGTGGGAGCTCCCGAGATAGTTTCGCTGTAAATGTGAAGGCGGTGGTGGCTGCACGCGCTGTCGGCATTGGGCATGAGCAATTGTCGAGATTTTGCTCCATTATTGGACTCCCAAAGCCAATGCACCACCGAGGATTTTTTTCGATGGCAAAAAAGATGCACACCGCTGCCATGGCAGCTGTGAGTGAAAACTTGCGCCGATCCAGAGAGTTGACGAAAGCAGTAGCAGGCGAAACTGATGTGGCTGTTATGTTCGACGGCACTTGGCAGAAGAGGGGCCACAAAAGCCACAACGGGATTGGCGCAGTTATCTTCTTAGATACTGGCCTCTGCTTAGACTTCGAGGTCATATCAAATTACTGCCTGACATGCAGTAGGCACAAGGATATGAGCCCAGACGAGGAAGTGTGGCAGGCATTCCATGGCCCAGTCTGTGAAAAAAATGCAGACTGTTCCTCCCATGCCATGGAAACGGAGGCTGCAATGCGCATTTGGCAGAGAACATGGACTTATGACACCCCACTGCATTTCATGACATTCTTGAGTGACGGTGACAGCAAAGCATATAGTGCAGTTGCAGAGTCAAAAGTCTATGGTGCTGTCAATATAGAAAAAGAAGACTGCACTAATCATGTGGCCAAGAGACTTGGCACCGCGCTACGGAAGCTGCATGTGCCATTACCACGAGGGCAGAAAATGAAAGAGCCAGCCATTCAGAAGCTCCAAACATACTATCAGATTGCCATAACAAGCAAAACAGGGGGAGTGTACGGGATATGTACACTGCAGTATGGGCTTCGTACTTCCACTCATGCTCTACTGACAATGCTGGCAGCCACAAGTTTTGCCCTGCAGGAACAGAGTCGTGGTGCAAACATCAACGCGCTGAAGCACTTGGTGAAACTGCACCACGCCACACACCTCTCCTGACAAAAGCACAGGGATTGGCTGTTTGGCCCATTTATAAGCGGCTAACGGATGAGAAGCTCCTTGCTCGATGCTTCAAAGGGAAAACCCAGAACGCATCGGAATCCCTGAACAGCAAAATTTGGCTACTTTGCCCCAAGACTAAGTTTGTCTCCCGAACGGTTGTCGAGAATGCCGCAGCTATGGCAATCCTGTGGTTCAACAAAGGTCATGCTACTTTCGAGCACATCCTGGAAGAGCTCAACATACTGCCATCTAGAGATCTAGTTACTTTCAGTGATTCCCGCGATGCAAGGCGCATCAAGAGAATGTCCGAGCGTCTGACGGCAGAAGCAAGGGTCCACCGTCGTCGTGGAGTGAAAAGGGCACGGCTAGAAGAGAGTGCTCGCAAGGACCGTGAGGGCACAACCTATGCTGCAGGACAGTTCTAGTAACTTGCAGTGCTTTTCAAAGTTCTGTTGAACATTATGGCCAAAGATTATGCATTTCTAACAACTCTGTGATAAAAAAAAAGGTTTCAAACTTTCAAATGCGTTTTTCTCCTTTTGCAGTTTTGTGTGATCTGTGCTTCTTATACACGCTAGTTCGTATACTTAGAATTGTCATACCTCTATGAAATTTTGCACATAGCATGATGAAGGCCCATAGAGTGCAAGCATCTATTGAGATTGTCAGTGCTGCTTGATTATGTTTTTCAAAAATTACATAACATTGAAAGCCCTTGGCAACTAGAGCCATAGTAAATTTTTCTATTTTATTATTGTATTTCACCTTTTTACACACAAAATTTATATAGTTTTTTGCACTCTACAGTTCCAAAGGATCATAGTCAGCTATATCTGCATGCTTTATCTCAAATTTTTATAGGTCAGAATTGTTGCATAACAATGGCCATAATTTTGCAGTATCTGACCTGCAGAAAGAAAACCAAGACTCTTATTAAAGAAAATCATTTTTCGAGTAGCATCTCCCCTTAATTCTTATTAAACATAATAATTCCAAACTTGACTACCAGCAAGGATTCATACATAACCACATACTGTAATGAAGATCTTCTATTTCTAGTTTTTATTCACTGCAAGTGTGAACTGAGGCGTTTGAATTTATAGCATGCAATGTCTGACTGAGCCTGTGTTGAACTGATGCTAGCTTATAATGAAAGAAGGGGTGGGCCAGTAACTAAGGTCATTGTGGCTACAACTAGAGTCTCGTATGTGAACACCCCAACGGAAACAGGTGCACCCCTTGCCTTCATTGGTCCCAGTAGATGAGAGTCCCAGCAAAAACAGGAACTGTCGCTTAAGTTGTTGGTCGGGCTCCCGCACATTTTTGCGTGCCGACAACTCATTAGACAGGCACTGCTGCTGCTCGATGGAGGGTGCTGGTGGCTCCTCCTGATCCACAGACTTCAGATGTGGGGGTGGCGTGGCGCACAGCCGCTCCTCACTCGCATGTAGACGAGCCCAGTGTCGCATAAAGTGCTCTAACTGAAGCTCTGAAAGAAAGTCAGATAACTGTGAGCAACTAAACAACACTGCCACAATAAAGCATGTCATAAAACCATATGCATACCGTAGACTTTCAGTTAACGGAAATCTGTTAAACAAAACTACTGCTTGAACGGAATTATTGCCTCTGCAATGCTTGGTTTCGAGCTTCGAAAAATTTGTAGGCACAGCAAGTAATGAAAAGTGAGAGGAACCCCAATTATTTGACCCTGAAAGGACCAATGAAAATAGTTGAATTACCCAAGAAAAAGAAAAGCAAAACAAATTACACTGCTCCACATTCACTGTCGTGCTCACGAGCAATGCTGAATTACATTCCCAGAGCTAAAATGCAAAATACAAAAAAAAGAGGAAAAAAAAAAACAAAGGTGGATAGACGCACAACTGGTGTAGCTCAGTTGACAGAGCATCGTATGCATAGTGCAAAAGTTGTGGATTCGATGCACACTGGCGAGCAACAACTTGTTTTTTCATCCCCTTTAATTAATATTCTCCTTTAGCTCATAATTACTCCACTTCTTTAAAATCTACACAAGACTCACATCGTCCCTATGTCATTTGCCCAACATGACTGGAAAGCTAAAGCCATCTTTCTTTTTTTTTTTTTTTTCAGTCAGTGTACTGATTCTCCCCCGCTCACCTTCTGTACATAATGTGACTTTGCACTGCCTCCAGGAACAGAAGCATTGCAAATTTTCTGCACCTCACCTGGCTTTGAACTGCACTGATCGGTCCAGCCCACTTTTGACCAAGCAACACCATGTGGTGACGTGATCATGTGATGTCACAAATTTTAGCAATCTGTGACATCACCATATGTGATGAAGTCATCATGCCACCACACCATCATCATGTGATGAAAGATTTTTTCCATCACTCATGTTGAAGCTGATGCCGACAGTCAATTTAAATGTTAAATGAGGCATCCAATGCTTTCGTCTTTATACTATGCTTTCCCCGACTTACTTGCTGGCATCTAATTCTTGCGCTGAACAAAAAAACAGGGCCCTTCTACTGGCATCCAATGGTTGCACTGAACAAAAAATCAGGGCCCTCAATAAATTCCCTTCATTGTGTTTATTACCCAGGTTATAAAACATGCAAGTTATGCATTATTTGTGCACAGACCCTTGCAAGTTACCTGCTCTACCTTCAATGGCAATTTCAGATGAAGCACTATTCATAGTACTTCACAATCAAGCAAAAGTTTTCCTCTTTTTAGCATTACAAGGCTGTATTACGAGCCCACCAGAAACATTGCAAATTGAAGCTAATTGCACAGCATAAATTGCAGCTGCTAAAAATCATCCTGTGTTTATTACTCACCCTTTTTCTTCTGGTGACTTGTCAGCTCAAAATTGCTGAGAAACTGTAACTTCTGAAAAAAAGAAGAAAAGAGGAAATAAAATATATATCACTATTGAAGAGCCAAAAGTCAGTAAGGAAAAAGGAAATAAAAAAAACGGGTTGGATACAAAGTATCTAAACTGTCAAAATGAAAAACATGATTAGTTGTCACTGCTGCTGCTGCTGCTGGCTGTGACAGTAAGTTTAGGGTGTGATCATCACAAGACCAAATTCATTACTTGGCCAGCTGGCAAACACGATTCTTGGAGCCCCAAACTATTGGATATGGCAAACTAGCTTTGCCAAATACGTTCAGTAATCCCAAGTTTGTCAATTAAACATCGTTAGTTCATGCAATGACCTTTTTGGTCTTGACCACATCTTTGTTTTTGCTCAATAAATTCAAACACCCACTTAATAAAAAGGCATTTTTGTGGGCTCAATGAGTTCAAATTAATGATGTTTCAGTGTATCCCGTGTGTCAATCTCATTCCAATTCCCCGGCCTTGCAAGATTTTCATGGCTTTTTGCACTGAGAAGAAGCAGTCTCTTCTTAACAAAAGTGAACTCTGCAAACAGACAGTTTGTTATTGGGTATTCAATGTGACAGCCTCTCTACAAGTCACACTAACCTAAGGGACTACCACTAGGAGGCCAAGCAAGGCTGCTGTGCATCGCATGGGCTCCGCATTCGACGATGTTTTTCTTGAACCAAGACTGCTTTTTGGTGCCAACAGTGGTCTCTGTTGAACTTTAGCAAGTTGCCGACGCTGCTGGTGCATGCCTCCAACCTCTTTGTTCTTATGGAGCTTTGCAAACTTCAACTCTTTGCTAAGGAGGGGAACGCTGCCTTGTTAGCCCCAATGCCACCTGCACCGGCCTTGGGCTCGCACTTCGACGCACGTGCACAAGTTCATTCGGCAACACAATGGCGTACAAGGTGAGCAGCATAGATCTACTTGCCACAGAATTTAACCCAGAAGAATGGAGTGTAGACCTGAATGCCCGACAACGCTCACCTCAACAGCAGTCGAAAGAAACCGAAGGAACACGGTCAAGTAAAGTGGCGCCAGCTGGCGGAACGCTAGCAAGCAAAACAGAATCAACACTCGGTGTTCCCTCAATGCTCGGTGACACAGCTGTGGCACGTCGTCGCTTAAAACGACTGCCATGGTTGCCAGTCGATGACTGCAAGATCGTCTTTCGTCCAAGTGTGGGCGTCAATCTAGCCCAATACAATGATGGAGAGTTAGAGGCAGCTGTAGTCGCCAGCAAGCGTTTCGAGGAGAATGTTGCGTGCGTCTACCTGCCCTAGAAAATATTTTCACAGAGTCCACTTCTTGCGCAGAACGCATTGCCAACTATGCCGAAATACGAGAACTCACCTACGTTCGCATTTCATGCCTGCATAGCTGCGGAGGGCGATGCTGCGGTGGGTGAAAGAGCATAGCCAATTGGCTTATTTGTCCCCAGCTTGCGTGCGGTAGATGCGTTGCCGCTGTGCGGGAAGCCTGTGGAACGGCACTTATTTGTCCCCCGAAGCGCGTGGAACGGCCCTTATTTGTCCCCCGCTTGCGTGCGGGAAGGGTGCCGTCACGTGCGTTGCGGATGTGCGGGAAGCGCGTGGAACGACATTAACGGCGCTCCGTCTCTTCGAGGCGGTCGTTATCTGCACCGCAGGGCAAGCAGCGTATACGACGCTCCGTCTCTCCGAGACTCTTAACGAATCACTTTACTGAGCCTTCAGTAGCTCTTTGTTGCCGAAAGCGATTCCCATTCTCCCAAAAAGGGGAGTCTGGTATCGCGCCCACTCAGGAGTGCAGCAACCGTCACGTGCACGGCGTCATGGGTTCGCTCTCGACCCTGTGGCCTTCGGAAAGCGCCCGCGCTCAGCCGCTACGCAGTGCACCGCTTACCTAGATAGCAGCCAAGGTCGTCCTTATGAGGACTCCCCCTTTTTGCCGCTGTTTCGCCCCCGACCCTTGCATGTGCTAAGGCACCGCGAGCGGCCGTCACACCGAAATCCAGGTTCTCGGCAGACATCAGGGGGCACGATATAGCGCGTCAGCTACCACGTTGGTTGTGTGTTCCCCACAAAAGGGGGTGACGACCCGGGCGGGTGCCGAAGGGTGCCCGTCGATAAAGGCGACGGCCTTTTTGTGCAACGCGGCATGCCACGAAACAGGCATGTTGCAACGAGCCCGAATCGTGCAGGCGAACTCACGCGCAAAGAGCGGTCAAAAGCTAAGAGCTTTTGATACCGCGTTGGGCGTCAGAGTAATGTACTCGTATTACGAAGGAATACGGCCACTAGCGTGGGTTCAGTCTTAGCGAGCCGCAGGGCACGCGTTAACCGTCGCCGTGGCGAGCACACCATACTGCTCAAGGTCGCAATACTTTATTGCCTGCGCCAACACCAAAAACGCAGTACAGAGCCAGTTGCAAATGCGCGGCGGGAAAGCAAATGGGCTTATCCATGCCGCGAGTACGTCTCCAAGGTAAGTGATTCACGGAGACGCAAAAGCGCTCGCGTTGGCTTCTGAGAGATACGGGTCGGCACAGTTTGATGACCATGCAATAGAACACCGTACCGCTTGTGGGAATTGAGGCTAGCCCGCTGCCTTTGCGCGGGCTTTGCCGCCTTTTCTGCCGTTCTCATGTCCCGACATGTCAGCCCTCTTTTGCTGTCTGCCGTGGTGGGTGAGCGGAGTGACGTTTAACTCCCTCACCCGGTAGCGGATGTTGACTGTGGCGCCGCGCGCGGGGACTCCCGAGAGGTTTTTGCGCGCTGCGTCGGGAGCGGTCAGTACTCTCCGGGACAGCAAACGGTGAGCCACGCTATCTTTTTCGTCCGTCGACTCCCGTCCCTCGGGACTCGTCGGACTTCGCTGACGGCGCCTCGCGCCCGAGGCGAACGCTCACTTTTTGTTGCCCCACTGCGTACTCACGGCCGAAGGGCGGTACGGTGTCCTAGTGCGTGGCCTAGCTACGCCGACCCGTCTCCCTCCGAGGCCAACGCGAGCGCCTTTGCCCTCGCTCGAGCAACCGGGCCTTGGTCCCGGTGTCTCCGTGGATCACCTTTACCGCGGAGACGTGCTCGTGGCACCCTGTGTAGTACTTTGTGCCCGTGGCATGGATAAGCTTATTTGCTTTCCCGCCACGCCTTTTGCAATGGGCTGTACTGCGTTTGGTGTTGCCACAATAAAGTGTTGCGACTTTGAGCAGTATCGTGTTCTCGCCACGGCGACGGTTAACGCGTGCCCTGCGGCTCGCTAAGACCGGACCCACGCTGGTGGCCGTACTTCTTCGGGATACGTGTACACCACACGCTCTTTGGCCTAGCATTCGGAAGGGGGCAACATAAGGTAAGCGTTCGCCACGGGCGCTGTTGGCAAATTCCGAACGAGCCCCAAACAAAGGGAGCGGACGGACGGTACAGAAAAGCGTACTTACACCCATGTCGTCCCCGGAGAGCTCACAGAGAGGTCTGTTGCACTCCCAACGCGTGCGCGCGACACATCTTGGGAAACTCTGCGCGCGGCGCTACAGTCGACATCCGCTACCGGGTCAGAAGAGTTAAGCGTCGCTCCACGCTCTCCCAGCACGGCAGACCATGGAGGAAGAAAGTCATGTCGGGACATGAAAACGGAGAAAGAGGCGGCAAAGCCCGCGCAAAGGCAGCAGGCTAGCCTCCATTTTCATATGCTAAAGAAAGTTTTAAAGCTCAGGAGACTATCGAATGCACAGAAGAAGGAAAGAAAGGAAAGGGCATGCCCAGCCGGCGCGCTACGTGAAAAGTGTGGAGGAAATGCCATCATGATGGCCATATTCACAGGTCACAATGGAGGCGTTGCTATGGTTATGTGTTGCGCAGTGTAGCTGATCTAGCAGTGAGCGGCCGCAGCTGGCAGCGGAATTTGTGCCACCGCAGGTCTCGTGCTGAGCTGTGGCGGACAATATCCGTGCTCTGCGCCTAGTTATTGGTTACGCAGTGTTCTCCTGGCAGTTACTGTACTCTTAGCAACGTTTACAAAACCTTTTGCCCACCAGGGGGCCTGAACAGTGAGTAGAACAAGCGCATATCCATGTGTCGTGCTGCGGCTGAAGAATTTGAAGTGTTCAGCGAAATTGCGTTGGGCACCATGATGAAGCGGAACGACGACGAACGCCTTGCAGGTCAGTGACGGTTGGGCAGTGCTCCTGTTTGTGGCAACGGAAGAAACTGTTATGCTCAGCAAGACGCAATGAGGACCATGTGCAGATACAAAGTTTCGTTTTCAGTATGTGTACAGTAACAACTTGTATGTGCGTAATGAAACACTTTTTCTTATGTGTTTCTTAAAAAGAAGAGAAAAGTGAGCCCCATAACTGTCTGCCTCAGAGTGCAACACCTCAACAGTAGCTCACAAGGGATGGAGGTAAGGAGAGATTAAAAGCATAGGAATAAATCGGCTTGACAAGCTATATACATAGAGGGAGGAAGGAGAGAGCGCGGCGCAGGGACAGTGAGCGACAGAAGTAAAAAGGAGATAGGAAAGATGGACATGGTCCCGGGAGTCCGAGGACAGGCACCACTCGCCGAGAGCTATTGTCGGCATCAGGAAATGGCGTAGGAGGAGCCTAGTCGGCCAGAGCTGCACTGTCGTCGGAGATCGCGGGGCCATAACCGGTCGGCATGGAATCCAGCGAGCGAGTCCCTGAAAACACCTTTTCTGTTCCGCTTGCTATACTCGCCCTCAGCATTGTAATCTCAACGTTAGAGCAACCACGTTCAAGTGTGACGTGCACCGTGCTCAAAGTCGCCACGGTCAAATAATGCTGATGCCAACGAGTTTCACGCAAAACACGGGCACAGTGGCCGGGTGCTGCGTCGGCCTCGCGTCGGAATGCAACCGTACCAGAAGGCGCACGACCGATCGTTATGTCTGTACAGTGCGTGAATTAATGACGTGAGAACACTCGCGTCATCAGTACATCTAGCGCGCATTCTCTTGTACTTGCTGTGTTGTCAACAAGCTGTTACTCGCTGTT